GTTTTTTTATCCTCTTCATGAAAACAGAACTACAGTTCCCATGATCCCCTGGGAATGCACACAGGAAGTGCAGAGCTGAGAAAAGTTAAGCTGTGAGTGACGCGTTCATGGTGAATCATCACGACTGTTCAACGCGGCGAGACTGAAGGCCTGACGAGCGCCATTTCTCGGATCACGGATCTGTCCACGAAGAAGGCTAAATGTGCCCGGCCCCCCGTCTGATCCCTTCACCCCTTCCTGAACGAGTCCCTGAACGTCTCGTATTCTTGAACATGGAGCTCTCTCTCCGCCTGTCCTTCCCTTTCTTCTTTCGGCCACATCCCCCCCTGCTCCTCTTCCTCTCAGCTCTTCATCGCTCTCTGTGGCAGATCTGCGACTGCAGCAGAAATCTGCTTTTCTCCACTGTGAGTGTCGAGCTGCTGCACCAATCGTTAAACGTTTTTGGGTCAGAGGACGAAGAGCTGACGGTAAAGATGAGAGCGTCCTGCTCAGCTGATCTGAGATCAGTTTCAGGTCTGAGTCTTGTTCCTGTTGGATGCTACAGAGCGCGCTCAGTGGCTGAGGAGCATGAGGTAGTTCAGTCGGTGATGACGGTCTCTTCCTGTGTGTACGCCCACGGGTTTTCAGGACTTCCTGTTCTGAGCGCTGACCGTTAACCTGCTGAAGCGTGATTGGTCCGCAGCACTCGAGGCGTAGGTTTTGTCCTCTGGTGACAGAATCACAGCTGATATCTGTAAAGGCGTCGCAGCAGGATTCGTCCGTTCCTGGGATCTACAAACTCAAAGGCGTGGTGATCAAACCGCTGAGGTCAGAGGTCATTATGGGTAAAACAATGACATCATGGAGGCTTCATGGAAGTCTGCCAGCCAGGTTTGGTTTTTCCACTGAAGCAGAAAACTTCCCATTCCCGTCACTGGAATGCCAACAACTTGGGAACGCTGCAGAAACGAAACAAAACAACACCGGAGCTGTTCAGACACAAACCTGCAGAACCCGCAGCAGATAACGCTGCGAGGCGACAGCCAGGCACGCATGCCTGCGAGCGCGTGAAGGATACTGGTGCAGCAGGACCTGCTGGAGCCTGTCCGCCGCCAGGAAGATGGGATGTGTCAACATAAAGTCATCCAGGAGCGTTTCTGCACAGAGACACAAACACACAGAGATTATCTGTAAGGACTGTCCCTGAACACAACACAGGCCTGCAGCCAGGAGAGAAGCACGACATCTGCACACACGCAAACACGCCCCGACCAACGCCACGACGGGGCGGGGCTGAGGGAAACGGGTTTGAGGTAGACGCCGTGTGCAGCAATGCTAATCCAGAGGAACTCTCAGGAGTCGCCCCCTGCTGGGCGTCAGACAGATCGCAGGTTTAAGGCATCAATGTTTTAGACCTGCGTCCAGCTTTTATGGACCGCTGCATTTTTAACAGGGGATGACATCACGAGTTGACGTAACCAATGAGTGTTCTTATCATTTTCATCAACAAACGTTTTTTCCAAACAAAAACAACGATAAATAATAAAAACATAAAGGGAAACACAGCGATGACAACCAGATCCAATCAGAGACACAGGTTTGGAAGTGATCCAATCAGAGGTGATCTGGTTGTCCAGTCAGTTAGACGTGCTGGTGATCTGTCTGCGCACACATGTCATACGTGCAGAGCTAAAAGCGACCGCTTTACATTTATGTTTCTTTACTTGTTTCTGAAATATTTCGACTGCTTCGAACCGTCACACGTTGCACAGATGGAGCCGACGGCTGCAGAGGCGCATATGAAACTCTGCTGCAGAACTCTGATAATAATCATAATGTCATCACGCTCACTTTGATTTATTGAGCTGGAAGAAACACAGACGTGGATATTTTTATTATCTGTGACACTCGTGTGTGCGTGTGTGTGAAACATACATATGAATAAATCTTTATGTCTGGTTTCTGAGCGAGCCGCTCTGAGGCGAACACGTCCTCGTGGCCTACATTTAGCTCGTCTCCAGTCTGCTGCACAGAGATTGTAGTACACGCACACGCACACACACACACACACGCACACACAGAAAAGGAGGGTGTGTGTGTGAGTGTGGAGGTGAAGCAGCTGCTGTAGTTACAGCTGTAATTAAAGCTGCTGAAACAGCCAAAACCTGTGGTCACATCTCCAAAAATACACTGCTGTGTGTGTGACAAGCATGCTGCAGTGGGCGTGGCCTGTGGCGATCCGCCTCTCTGCAGGCGGTTGCCATAGCGACACCACGTTGTCGACCGTGGGAGGATGAAGAGGGAAATGTGAGAGAAGAAAAAAAACGAAACAGGATGAGAGCTTCATGCTTACTACTGATCACCGATCAATAATCCACCGATGATGAAGTTTGACTGAAGTAATCAGCTGCAGTCAAAGTACTAACAGGATACTCCATGTAACACGTCAGCTCAAAATGATATATTCATGTTAAACACTGATCAATGATGTGATTGTTGTGTTTGCAACATAATGTCCATTTTTAATTCATTAATTGATTTTTTAATGTGAAATAAGCTTCCAGATGTTTCCAGAGCCAAACATCGAGAATAAAACAAGAACTTATTTCAGTGATTCTCAGAGTATCTGAAACTCATTTGCATTAAAACATTGATGACAGTGGGCAAACAGGAAGCACACTGATGGGCAGCCAATCAGAGGAGAGTTTGGTGAAGAGGAGGAGGAGCAAGAACAGCTTGTTTCAGACAGAAGAAATTAACACAGAGCTGATCCGAGTTCAGTTTATTCAGTTCCAGTTTGTAACGCCCTGGCTCCGCCTCTATAACAGCTGTATGTCCCAGATTTAGGGGGGGGTGGGGGGGTGGAGCTTATCTTTCATGTCAGCTGACACACACATAAATGAGTTTTTACACGGGACACACGGCAGTGCCGCACCGAAGCTGAAACCTGTACTCATTACTCTGATTATTCAACGGCGTGGAGCATGTGCAGCGCAGATCACGGGGTAGCAGAGCGATGGCGAGAACACAGAGAGTGTGAACGTGGGAGGCGAGCGAGAGAGAGCAGCCGAACCCAAACGCCCACAGGAGAGAGAGAGAGAGAGAGAGGTGGCGAGAGAGAGAGAGGACAGAAATCACAGCGTCGAGGATGAAACGGTGACGGCACGAAACGATATGTGTTCGACAAAATGACTGCAGAGGTGCAGCAATGACTGTGCACC